ATTGATTCATTCACGCATTTTCAATATTACCTTTTTCCCTTTTAGTGGTAAACCATGGAATATCAAATTATAATTTAAAAAAATGTGTAGTATTTCTTCAAGTTACTTAAGGATAGAGAAAATCAAGAAAAATTTAGTAGTTTATCAGCTATGTTCTTCTTTAAGTTTCAATCCGGAGGTAAATGATAACTTGACTTCATCGCAAAGTTCCTCGGCTAAAAATAATTGTTTGTTTTGAAGATATTAACGATTATAATAAGTCCCATTACTAAGAATTTTACCTTCATTTTGCCAAACAGTAATTAACACAATAGGTTAGGCAATTTAAATAGTTTAAGAAACACCATCGTAGACAATTAAATATTCCCACACGCTACTTTCTCATTTAAATCATTTTCTCTCAGCGGCTTGCTTTTGTGCCAAAGTGTCGATTGCGCAAGAAAGTGAGAGATGATTCCAACAGCGTTAATTTTTTTTGCTTGTCTTTGCCCCAAACTGCTTGTTTGAATGGTACTGTCAAGTTCTAATTTTTCTTTTCCTTCTATTTTTGCGACCTAGAAACCGGTAAGTTATCACCTCAAAGAAAACTTAAATATTTTCTCCACAAAAGGGTGCAATGTAGAATTAACATGATTTTTTTTCTTAAGTCAGGGTTTTAATAATCTAGTTAAATACAGCTTAAATCCTGCTTTAGTAGAATCCTCCAGGAGGCCGGGTTAACAAGTATGTAGTGAATGATAACATGTTACTGTTGTGCGCCAAAGTCAGAATTTGACAGCAAGCAAATGATTGCAGCTTTATCCCGTGAATGGTACAGAAGGAAAAATATCGATATATCCTGATATATGCACTTGCTTATATGCATTAATTTATCATTCAACGGAGTAGTTACTGATCAAGGATGCTTTACACGTACTCAATGTCATAACGGAAGCTACTTTTGCTGGGCGTCTTAATAATAATTTTGTAACCGAAATTAAATTTGTCATGAAAAGTTTATTTCGCGGCTATATTTTATACTTCCTTGATTTTTCCGCACGCACACAGTTTTTTTGAGTCGATTTATCTGATTTTTATTGTTATCATTTGTAGTTCGTCTACAAAGCGAGGTTCATCAAAATGAACAACTCCTCCATCTCCACTCAGGGAAATGAGAAAGAACCAAACATGAAGTTATCAGAATTAATGGCGTGGAGTTCTGCGTATGGATTTGTCGATGTTGTCATCCTTGTTGGCAATGTCCTTACCCTCACCGTTTTTTCTACAAACAAGAAGCTTCTTCGCATGCGTGCAAATTACTTCCTGATAAATCTGGCACTAGCGGATATGATGGTTGGTACGTTCGCTATACCCATGTATCTTTACCACTTAATTGCGGCATGGGAAAAGGGTGACAGCGTTTGGATGCAATATAGTTACAAGATTTACAAGGTGGTCGATGTTTTTGTTGGCTGCGCCTCCATATTTACCCTCACTGTTATAGCCTTGGAGCGAGCATTCTCAGTTTGTTTGCCTCATGTTCATCGTCACGTCAGAAACAACAGCTACTATGGACTTCTTGGCCTAATATGGCTGTTGTCTATTCTGGTCTCTTGTTTGCGATTCCTTTTTGAGGAAAAACTCCTATCACTACCGTTTTTCTTCTACTTCATGTTGGTTTCCTTTGCCGTCGCCCTCTCGATAATTTGCGTATCTTATGTGGTAATATGGTTCAAAATGAAATTTCGTTTCGCCAGGAGAGACAGCGTACATAAGCGGTCCGGTGAACATGACAAACGACTCGCTGTAATACTTTCTACAGTAACTGTTGTGTTTGTTCTCACCTGGATGCCATTTCAAGTCATAAACATTGTAGCATTTTTCTGCATGTCTTGCCAGAAAATGCCCAACGAGATCGCTTACTTTGCAAAGTTTTTGCACTATGGTAACTCGTGCGTCAATCCTATTATTTACTCATTCTTGGTACCTGAGTTTAGGAAGACAGTTGTCAAAATTTGCAGCAAAATAAGAGCTTAATTTACATTGAAAGTTGAAATGAATAATACATAAAACTTAGTAATCGCGAAGCAATTTTTCAATTTTGCCGATATATATTTCCAGTTCCTGTCTGAAGATAAAGGGTATTGCAGTCTGGTACATGCAAACTATTGTAGGGGTGATATTTTAGTCAGTGAAACCACCAGTTCTAAACTAGACTCGACTCATGCTAGTTAGACGAAAAGTATTGAATGTCCGTCTATTATTTTAACAGCGTGAATTCCATCAATTTTCATAGCTGGAGAAAAGTTAACATTATCGATAATGAAAAAAATCATATCATAATTTCTTATGGTAGCCTACCTGCTGATTATTAAAATAAATTTGGAATGATATTCGGATGGAGCCTTCGGCAGTGTCCTCTGGTTTTTATTGCTTGTCTGTGGAAAGGTTATTGCCACAGATATATATGCAGAGTATTCAACAACTTGACGGCCAAATAAGAAGCCTCTTATCAACAGACACTTATCAAAGAAATAATTTTTAGACCAACCTTTCTGATTAACTAAGTTTTGTGTTTCTCTTGCCTAAATGTGGTTTCGAGTTACCGCTACCAATGTTTTTAAATTGTTTGTTATCAATAGCTGAGACTGTAAAGAATTAAGCAGAAAACCGCGATTCGTTAACAATTATTTGGGATAGTTTTTAACAAAAAGATTCCCAGACATCACTTCTATGTCAATTGCTATAGAATGTCGAGGAAGGTTGGCCGAAGTTGATGACTTAGGGTCTTTTTAAATGGTCTCAAATACCTGAGATTACCCCCCCTTCCCCCCCCCCCCCCCCCATAATTACATTTGCTTCCCCTCTTTCCTTGAAAATATTCAACCACCAAAAATGGCGCACTCACCTGAGGGGGGAGGGGGGGGGGAGAGACTATTCAGCAGAGCAAGCTGTCTCGCCTCAGCAGGTAGGGCAACCCTATCAGGCGGGACAACTTTTCCTCATATACGAAACATTTCTGCTCGCCGGCCCGAGCCAGTCTTAGCAGAGACATCAGCGGAAGACTGAGTGAAAGGAGGGCTGTTACAACCCACAACTCCATATAAACGTGCTGTAAAGTTGTCTCACATTGTTTTTATTTCCCCTCATGGAAACAGGTAACGGCTCTCTTTAGTTTAGTTAGAATGATTTGGTGTATTTTCATTTGGCAATAAAATGAAATAGCCGTTTCGTGAAGATTCAAAATTTTTTCAGAGATTAAATTTAAGAAACTCAAGAAAAATAATATGTTTCGACAGGTCATGTAATAAGATAGGTTAAGGGGACCAAAACTTGTGTTCTTTTAAACATGCTGGGGCCTATTACGTGTGGAGAAAACTTATTGAATATTTTGGCTGTCCTAAAAGCATTGCATTGAGGTTAAGACAACGGTTGCGTGGCTGCAGCTTAGTATTTTTCTCCTTCCACTTTTTTTTCTTTATCATTATCACACTTTTATTTATCCGTCTTAGATCCAACGAAACATGGTAACGCAAGCTGGCATTCGTAGGATCCTTTCCCACCCCTCCCATCTATTCTCAATATAATATTTTTACACACCATTGACGCCTTCTTATCTTAAAAATACATAAAATTAACATTTCAAAAATGCTTAAATAAACAAATTTTAGACGCCTACGTCGCCTTCACGGATAGCATGGTTTCAAGAATTCCTGCAAAATGCCAGAAATGACCTTTATACCGACGAAGAATTGCATCTCAGGTGAAACAAGAGATATTTATTGTTTCAGAAGGTTATGTGAGTGCCGTACAAGTCGACCTATTATACTAGTTGCCAAATTTGAGACTACATGCTGCTTTGTTGTTCATTGAAATACCTCTCAGGGTTCTGAATGATCACGCACTTGCTAATTTATTAACAAACAATCTACAGATGCTCATCGAAAATTTGCTGGACATTCTTTGAATTGCGAAGGCCGATGATCAAAACACTCAAGTCACGGATATTGCCGAACGTGTAAAATGCTCTAAAAGCGAGGTAAGAAGAAGATACTGAATGTTCCGTTCAAGTTCACTTGATAAGCAATTGTCACCCATGTAATGAGTTGTGAGCGACAAAATTACGCTGGCTCTAATACAATCGTGTAGTAAGTCTTACATTTACACTAAACTTACGCCTCGCTAATCATGTCATCTCTAGTATAATTCCTGCAAACCAAGAAATTCCTTTGACGCGGGAACTAACGTTTTACATGGCTAAACAACGCCAACGACGGAATCCAAATACGTCACATAAGGAGTCGGAACTTCATTCAGTTTATTTCGCCTATCAAATGTTTCAAGAATTTCACTTATCACGTTCGAAAAGATAATCTACCTGCGGCATTTTGCTCAACGATTAAGAAGTAATCCTAAACAAAAGAAGATTTGGACCGGTTGTCTTGACAAGCTCTTCAATTAGTGCGTCACGGTTTATGTTTGAGAATCTTTGTTTTAACAAGGGGGAGGTGAGGTACTGTAAGGCTCCGAACTCGACGGAAATAATATCAAAGGTTAACTGTTTGCCACCCAGATCTTTAAATCACGAGCCTCTTTCTTTTCTTCCACACCAATTTCAGAAATGTCCTATCTTGTCTTAAAAAATCCATTTCCTCATGTACAAATTGTTGACATCACCTAATTTATCGCAAGTAAAGTTGCAGTTTCAAATTTCCTCAAAGCCTTTGTTTTAAGCTTTCGTTAGCGCTGCGACCAAGACTTGTAGCAACTGAAAATTCTAGCAAGCTTCTCCTTGCAATAAGATTGTGGATGTTCAACACCTCTCGGTCATTTTTAGTTAATTTTCTCCATTTTGACGATTTTATATTATGAAAATGTCATATCGTGGTTTGCCACAAGCTGAAAGTAAATCTGTAAGTCACAAGTAACGGCTCATGATATCGTCACGTACGCGTAACACAGTCAGTATAAGACGTAATGAATTACGGAATCAGTGGACAGCCGCTGCACAGTGTGAGTTCAAACTGATTAAGTTAGTCGCCAGAACAGCAACAGTAAAGCAGTTTGAACGGAATGTGTAAGCAAGTTTAGGAGATTATTATTCACTTTTTTGGGAGGAAGAGAGGAGAACTTGACCAGGTCATCGACGTCAAAGAGTGTAATGTTCTTAGTCGAGCAATACAAGGAAAAACGTAGGGAGTAACTTGGAAGGTGATTTTTGCCGCTCGGTTATATCATCTCACACCTGCTTAGTTAAGACGCCAAAAAATGAAAGGAAAATCTTCGCTTGTGCCTTCATCGTAGTACTGCAACGACAGACCGAAGAGTTGATGTGATGATTTCTTACTAACGAGCGTGAGGACAGTTAACTTGGGAATGTTAGCACGAGGTCGAGGCAATATGGGACGAGTGCATCAGGGTCCATGCTAAACGAGATTGAGGGGCTGATGTTCCATACAAGGTTCACAAAAGCCCATGTATATAACAGTAAATGGTGGCGAATGCACTTCCGGACACTTGAAGTCGAGGGGCTTCCGTAATGACGTATTTTTTATGACGCACGCAATCAGGAGAAATCGGACTAGTACCGCTTGTCTGTGATCAGATTTACATAGGGTTATTTCATGTGGAGTGTGAGCAAGCCTTAAAGAACTATTAAGGACGTTCGAAATGAAATTTGTCGAAAGACCCAATGACCGTAGGCTTTGCTGAAATCTCATGAAGGTTTTTGTCGCGTATTTTCTGAACAAAATTCAGGTTGGCAAGGTGCCCCATCTCGAAAACAGGTAGGCTGTCAAATCTTTCACTAGTCACGATATTAAATTTCATGAAGCAGAGAAGAATTTCGTATTTGTGTTTACTCGTTTGTCTTTCTAAAATCGCCCATGGTTCCCTGGTTTTCGTCTGTTTCGATCTCAACATAGAGAAGTTTTGAGATCTTAAGGATAAATGTATTTGTCACGGAAAATTCGTCTTCGTATTAAGCTTTTTTAAATATCAATGTTCAGGCAGATTATTTGCGACAAATGAGAGTATCTGTGATTTCATTTTAAAAATAAATAATATATAGTTATGGCCGCTTTCGATGAAATGATCTAACTGACAAAATTCCGACCAAGAAAGAATTGACTCTACTTAAGACTACTTTGCCAATTAAAAAAATATATTCCATGGCACACGATGTGCAGGCGGGTGTCACTAGTGTTCTTACCACGTATCCTGTGATTTATTACTGAACCGACGCATGGGACAACTATTTCATTTACATAATAATGAAGCAAAAGGTTTTCAATGGTGACTTCGTCTATGCATTTGTCCTACAATCGATCGTTAGTAAGAATCATCTAAACTTGTATAAAAATTAGTAAAGCAATATTTTATAGAACGAACGTCTGTTTTCTATGGGTTTACCAGTGCAATAGACGGTAGGACTTTGACCAATCAGGGTGCTCGTAGTTTCTCAGTTTTTTGATGGTATTTTAATTATGACATGATTTACAGAGCCTAAAAGAAAGTACCTTTACCTGTTTATTGCACCCGCAAGTATGGATCCTTTTAGATAAAATATTTGAAATTACCCCCACATTATCATGACCACCTTCCTCGTCCAGGGACCCCCAACCGAAGGGCATGACCAATACGCTGGTGAATACTTCGTTCTCTTAACTCTAGTTCCCTCGTGGGGCGGAAGGTAAAGAGACCCTGACTATTCTTAAAAGGTGGTTTTACAACCTCTTATCCCATTTCCTTGCACTGAATCTCTCCTGGGCCCATTCAATGCATCATCAGGACATAAGTAGGTATGTAAATGAAACGTATTGAGCAGCAAAGCAAGTTCACTAATCCGGTATATTGCAACATGATCTCATCTCGAGCAACTAAAAGGTTCCTTAAAACATTAACAGTTGACTGATGGTCTTGTTTTATGCTTTATTCCACCAGGACAAAACGCCACCATCTTAATGAACAACTCTTCTTCACAACATGAAGGTAATGAACAAGCAGCTGGTTCGCTGGTGGCGTGGAGCTTAGCATACGGATTGCTGGATGTCGTCGTAATACTTGGGAATGTCATAACGCTCCTTGTATTCTTTAGGAATAAAAAACTTTTGCGCACACGCGCAAATTACTTCCTAATAAATCTAGCTATAGCTGATATGATGGTTGGTACATTCGCCATACCCATGTACGTCTATCATTTGATTTCCGCGTTGTATAATGGTGAAGGTGTCTGGAAACAGTTCAGCTCTAAGATTTATACGGCAGTTGATGTTTTTGTCGGTTGTGCTTCAATTTACACATTAACATTCATCGCCTTAGAACGAGCATTCTCTGTTTGTTTACCTCAGATTCATCGCCATGCAAGAGTAAAGACTTATTATGGACTTCTAGGCTTGATATGGCTGCTGTCTATTTTGGTATCCTGTTTGCGGTTTCTGTATGAGACAGACCTCCTTAAATTGAAATTTTTCTTCTATGTTATGCTGGTTTTATTCTCTATCGCCCTCTTGATAATCTGTATCTCTTACGCTGTAATATGGTTCAAAATGAAGTTCCGGTTCGCCAATAGAGAGGGAAACAAACGTAAGAGGGAACAGGACAAGCGACTCGCCATTTTGCTGTTTATAGTGACTGTGGTGTTCGGTCTCACGTGGATGCCATTTCAAATCATAAATATTTTGGCGTTTTTCTGCTACCCGTGTAGGAAAATGTCAATCGATGGTGTCAATTTTGCAAAGTTCTTGCACTATGGCAACTCTTGTGTTAATCCTATAATATACTCCTTTTTGGTTCCCGAGTTTAGGAAGACTGTTGCCAGTATTTTTAGAAAACTAAGAAACAATGACGAAACTGGAATTTCGACGTTTGAAATGCATTCGGCTAAAACGTAAGTAGGCACTTACTTAATCTAGGTCATTATACGCACAGATTTTACATAGTGATCGAGGGAGCTAGGGCGATTAACAGCTGCAATCTTTCAGTCCCGGGTTAGCATTTGCAAAGGCCAGACTGGATGTCAAGGTGTTGAAAAGTTTGTTCTCACAAGCAATTTGCTTTGTCTGGTTCTTAAGAAACGTCTCATATCTCCGGCGTACACTCCGTTGCAATGCAAACTTTAACTTTCCAACAGCGTCGGTTCTCCCAGACTTTTCTCGAATTGTCGATCAGGTAACTTGATGCCTTACCCTCACCTGAATGCGTCTTCGTGAAACGCTTACGCCCAGCTTAATTAAATTACCTTCTTTATAGAATTGTTATTCAATACTTGAAAGTTAGACTTTGAGTCTCTTCATATATCATTGCTTAAGATGTCCCTGTCAAGTAAACAAATTGAATGTATCTCATCCACTATTTTTAGCTAAGTAATGATTGTTCTCGATGTAACTTCAATTTTGAAGGTCTGAAGAATTCTTTTGACGAAAACACATTCAACAATTAGAAGCGAAAGTAGGTGAACAGAATCGTCCGAAAAATGCCGTTGGACCCGAATCAGTGAAGTGACAAGTTAATTTTATAATGAGTCTTTGTATTAACACGTAACGAATAGACCTCTAGAGCCATCCATCATGATTTATTCAAGATAATCAGCTGCAAAAAACTGTTTGACCTGCTACGAAATATGTTGTTAGACAAAGGCACGAAGGCTTACAGACAGCATTAGCTGCTGAGTTCGTCAGAAACACATTAAGGAAAGTAAAGGTTTCGAAAATGGATTCTGATAACCTTATCTTTCTATACGATACATTAGGCAAATTAACACCTAGCACAATGTAAATAAAGATTGTTATAAAAATGTGCGTTATGAAGTCATCCTTATCGAAGTGACAAATATGGTATTAATTAAAATCGGCTTATTACACTAAATTGGTAAATATGAGAATCCCTGCTGGTTTTGTGTTTCTTTTCAAGTTTACGTTCCTTAATGAACTCTCAGCGGAGATTTCAGTGCTGGTTTTTCAGAATGATCCCAACCAGATATCTACCAGAAGTGCCCCAGTTTAAGAAAACTGACTGAGCGTTTCTAGCTTATCATTCTCTCAGAAGGTCAACACTCTTAGCTACCAAGGTGACAAAGCTGATGTCGTCATTCATATGGAACTAAATGATGCGAGTCGTACTTTTCTTCTTACCTATTGCATGGTGAGTGATCAGTCCCACTTATCTGGATCCTTTTGCAGAGATGCTGGAATTGCTTCACAGAGAACTCTAAACTTTTATCTGTCAATCCTGTAGGATAATATTTCTTGTTGCTTGATTTGCACCATTTTGGTTTCAATTCGTAGAGCAATCATTCCAACTGCGCGATAGAATGATCGGAACGGTGCAATATAACAAAGATTAATCGCATTAATGCCTACCTCAGAGCCTATCAGGTTAGTGTCTACAGTTTTAGTTTGTAAAATGTGCACTGTTTTTAACGATGGTTGAGGTGATTTCCCAGTGAGATTGCTTGTTCTATTTTCAGAGAGGTAATTTTTGAGAATGTCATGATCACTGAATTTAGATGATCTTGATGAGGTGCCTGGTTCTCAGACCAAGCAAAATAACGTTTACTTGACCCAAAAAATGGTATACGGCCACAATTTGATCTTATAATTTAGTGATTTATGTGGACTCGTAAAGTTGTCTTCATCTCTGACCTTCAATATCAGTTGCGTCTCAAAATTATGCCTTGATATTTTGATTTATTATGATCCAAGATCACGATATTTCCTAAGGAAACGATCTTGTTCTCTTTAAACCCCAAGAATGTTACTTTTCCTTTTAAATCTTCACTCTGTTACTTTAATGCAATTATGGCTGTTTTGTCGATTTTTTTTTCTTTCTTGAAGTGTGATCTACCACCACAGCCGGTTTTATAATCAACTTAGCTAAGTAAACAATCTTTTTAAAACAAATTTACAGACAGACAACCTTCTAAACTAAATCTTACAAACCCATCTTTCCGGTTGATTAGCAGATGAGTGAGTCGAGGCAGGAAATTGAAACAGCATTCCTGCCAAACGGACGAAACCGAACACAATAGTATGACTCAGCGCGATTTGTTGACGTGTGAGTTAAGTGGCTATGACATACTTTAAGAAAATTCTTTTACTTTTTCTTTTCCCATGCCCCGCTCTGTTGAGGTTAAGGTTTCTTAGAGAAGTAATTAACCAGATATCGTAGAACGAACCTTTGAAACCAGATCTGTCGGTGATGGAGAGAAGATTTTACTAGTGCTTCAGCCATTCAGTGCAAAAATTTGTAGGTATGTTTTGGATAAGTATATTTTCAAACGTAAACTGACGTTTAAATTGCCATCATTCCACGCTCCAGCCCCACTTGTCACTCTCTTAAGTCAAGAAAAATAAGTGAACTCTCTTGATACAATATTTTCCTTAATCATTTTCATTTTCTCCATGTAGTTTGTTTCTCACATTTATCATGTTATGGATAACAGATTGTTTTATAGTTTTCTCTTTAAGAAGGATAATGAAAATAATGATGATAATAATAATGGTTATGTCTTCATCGTTCTGTCGTTTGACTTCAGTTGATTCAGTGGCATATGTTTACCTGAAGGCCACTGACAACACAACTGTTCCTTCGAAAGTTCGCCAACAGCCAAAATTATAGTGACTGTGACATTTTTACTAGTTATACGTGCGTAATGTTATTCATATCTACCTTACATTTCGTGGGATGTTTTAAATGAACCAGTGGAAGGAAGATAATTTTAAAATAAAACAGCCCCTGGTGTTCCTCTTATGTTAATCATATTAACGTTGATGTGATCCTCCACCTCAGCGGAAGGCGAGCTATGCAAGAATGAGCCGAATGGAGTTCAACATATCATCACTTTGCTTTATTTTAACCTTTTTAGAGAGCACTCTGTTCCATTTGGATAACCATTAAAACAGTAAGGCAAAAAACAAAACAAAACAAAACAGAACAAAACAAAAAAAGCCTCTGACAGTACAACATCAACGGAATTTTCCAGCGCGCCACGAGTTTTGAAATTCGGTGTAGAACTCACAGGACAAGTCGAGGGGAAGGAGTAACTGATCTCAAAACTGACACTTAAAAGTATATGGCGGCTCGGCTAATTATTGTTAGACTTAATCGCGAAACCTGCAATTAATGCCAGTACTTTACCATTTAATGCAGCACTCTGCGTTACTGCTACTATAAAATGAGAAGTTTTTTTTAAATACAGGCTAACGTCTCAAAGGAAATCTTGACCTAGCTGTTTGTTACGTGCATGTATACGGATCTTCAAATTAGTATCCGGGCAAAGGTTATAGACGTAAGTATTCCGTTTAAACCGGGAATTTTCAGAGTCTCTCCGTGCAACTATTGAACAGTATGTCATCGCATTGGTCTTTGGCCTTTCTCTAGTTTTGGAAAATCATATGGGGTCTAAACAAAATCAGCTTGATCGGATCAAAGAGTGTCAGATTAACTTTGCCTGTAGAGGTTCTAACTCTGTAACACGCGATATTCTTGATAGTTATTTGCTATTGCTGAATAAATCCTTTGGATATACCTACAGGTAGATCATTATGTACTGTGTATGATTGTCGACCATTCAGTCAAAAATATCTTCGTTATGTAGCTCTAAAAATACGAACCAGTATAGCCTTCCAGTAAAATCCTTTTTAATAGTATCGTATATTTAGATGAGACACCGGCGTGTTGTTTAACTTCCCAGTGAGAAAACAGCTGATAAATTTTAGATTTAAAAAGTGTAGAGGAATGTGTTGCACACAGCAACAGTACAATTTAATACTGAAGTGATGACTATTTGACTATTTAACGGCAAGAACTCGTAGATCTCCAAAATGAAAAACACAATTCTTAAAAGTCATCTAGTGACGAAATGCGCATTTCCTCCTGTCTGTGAAACATTACTGAAAATCCGGTGGCCAATCAAAAAATGGAGCAACAGAGGTACTTTAGAATAATGTTTTGGTGTGAATTAACTGTAATCAATTTTCAAAGTCAAGATTCCTACAACTGAAGTAAACCAATTGATCCAATTTGGTCCTACGCTAAACAGTCTGGTGAAGGTCCCTTGTAATTGATTTAATTGTTTTATCAGTACTTTATGCTTGCTTCTGAATATAAACCTCGCTCAAGTTGACTGCCATTTTCCTTACAGAATGAACATGTCAAACACAAACAACACGCAAAGAGATTGGAAACCAAGTACCCCAACTTATGGAGTTATCTTATGGTGCATAACGTACAGCCTCACAGCAGTTGGCATAATCTGTGCCAACGTGTTCGCCGTTTTCGTTTTCACAATGAAAAGGCTTTTGCGTAAGAGGAGCAATATTCTCCTATTGAATTTAGCCATCGCTGACTTGATGGTTGGAAGCATAGCGTTCCCAATGTACATTTATATTTTCTATAATTCGCACAAAAGCTTCTTATGGAGAGACATGATCACGAACCATGTGTACCTCGGCGTGGACGTCTTTTCAGGATTATCCTCGATGTTTATTTTAGCAATGATTGCCTTAGAAAGGGCGTATTCTGTCTACCGACCTCTAAAGCACCGCTGTGTTTCTAGGAGGTCAAGGCTCTATTGGTTGTCTGCAGCTTGTGTTTGGGTAACATCGGGAGTCCTTACTTCCATGAAGATTCTAACATCACTTGGAGTTCTGACCTTCTCATATGACAAACATGTTATCTTCATATTCGTGTCCATCGCCTTGATGACCATAATAGCCGCCCACGCTTCTATCTGGACCAAAATCACAAGACGAAAAGAAAACCTCGATTTCATAGTCAAAGAAAAATCCATTGCCCTGGCAATGCTTATAGTAACTGTCGCTTTTATTGTGATGTGGCTGCCGTTTTATCTGCTTAATGTAATTTACAGTTTTGATCAAAAAGCTTTGAAATCCGTACCCTTAAATTTCTTTTACTTTGCTAAACTATTGCAGTATGGGAACTCCGTCGTGAATCCAGTAATATATACATTGAAGCTTCCACAATTCCGTAGGGCTCTGCGAAAATTACAAAGCTTCAAAAGCTCTGTAAGAACAGACAAAGACGTACCACTGTAATAGCATCAGTATATTTGCAGGAGTCTTTTAAGATAAACTCAGTGAGATAAAATCGAAAACTCCAATCTCACTCAATCAGACGTACCACTGTAATAGGGAATAAAACTGTAATTTAAGATAGCAGGTAATTTAGAGTTAACAACTGAGTTGAAAATGTAAATTAGTCAATCGCTCTGACGAAGGGCTAACGCTCGAAATTTCAGCTTTTTTACCCTTTACGGTGGCTAATTTACGTTTTCAACTCAGTTGTTAACACTAAATTACCTGCTATACTCTCCCACCGACGCAGCACCACAGTTTCTTTAGAAACTTACCCCTTTATTCATTTGTCTTTTAAGATACACTCAATGAGACAAAATCTAACGCGTTAATCTCACTCTTTGCAAGTAACGTAAGACTCCCAAAGAACTGATAGGTTACCAGCGTGAGAAAATGTACATTTCATGGTCTTGCTTACCCTATTTCGCGATTCATTAGGCCGCTTCGTTGATTGGACATTTGAAAACTCCTCGATAAAACGACATCCCAGTTTTGGAATTGTCCACCCTTTTCGCTATTGGGTATGTTGATAGGAACAGATAGCCTAGTTGTAGTTGTTCCCTCCCCCTTCCCCCCCCCCCTCCTTAGGGTGAAACGGAAGCGAGGGGCGGTTTACGAAATACTACTGTCAATAGATCTCTTTGTAATTTACATTAAAGGACTGCAATTATTGGAATATCTCGAGTTCTGCCAAAGTCGTGGATCGACCAATGATGATATAAGTGGAAATAAACTGACTGCACGGTGCTTCCGTCACGAACCACAGGACGCTTAATTTGCTTGACTAGCTGTAATTTCTATTAAGTTTAGCTTTAATGTAGGTTTCACCACAGCACCACGTGCGTATTTTTGGTCAATTGTTTCTAAAACGAACATCAAAATTTTTCATGTGCGTTAAATCAATTTTTTCTCCAACGACTGCAATGATTGCCATCCAGTAGAATTCTCTCGGTGGTGTCGTGTTTCCAATATCCAAATGGCATAATGTAGAAACGTTCTCTACAACAGGACCTATTCAGACGTCCATAACGAAGAATATAAATCTAATTGCCATGTTTTCCTGATTTTGATATCCAATGTCAAAATTTGCTCTTCAGCAAGCTGCATTATTATACCGTGTAATCGCTAACTGAAGTCGGCCTATTTCTCACCGTCTTTGATTAAAAGGAAAAGGACCGGAAAAGTGTAACTAACAGTGATTTGAAAACGTGAATGACCTTATAACAATAATTGAATTGATGTTAAATTTAATGCAAAACATATCATCCCCACCTTTCTATTTCATTGTCTAAAAAATACACGGCTCCGTCAGAAAAGATTAAATTTTAACACATTCTAAATCCAATATTTTATTGGACAGTTACTGAGAAACGACGTATTCAAGTTTGGCATGAAATCGGTAGCAAAATAGCCGCTTTAAAGTTACAATTGGCAATTTGTTTAAATATCACGCAGCTTTTCTATATGACTTCCGACGGGACAGAAAAAAGAAAACAATCATGATAACATTGTTATTGTAGCTTTATTTCGCTCGATTGCTTGGACATTGTTTTTTTTCTTTCTTATTTTGACTGGCTGATCAACAATTGCTTCGATCATTTCGCCAAGAAAATATCAGACTTTTTTTTCTCTTTATTTTGGATAACTAAGGCATTGTGATATATTTTTCATAGAAAGCACCGAAACAAATGCTGTGTTACGTTTTCGCATGCATAAAGATTCGTCGACCCGAACTTGCTAATAAAAACTAAACAGAACGAAGATTATTTGAATAAAGTTTTAATTGTCAAAGGGAGCAATACATTGGCAAAGCGAAATACTGACGGAAATGTTCACATCGAAAAAATAAACATAAAGATATTAAACTTATTAGTTTATCACAATACACTCTCTTGATACGAGAGCGGTGTGCCAATTTGACGACGAAACAGGAGTCCTCGCTACTTACCTAGTCATAACACCTGCAAATCCAATTGCCAAATTTGCTTTTAGTCAAAATGTGAAGAGGCGATGCACTTTACTGGCCTTTCAAACAGCACATTTAAGCCAAAAAAATTGTCGTTGCTATTTTTAACTACAGCTAACATACATACAATAACAGGGTTTTAGTTTGTGTTAATGGAGCATGCCGCTGTGATGAAAGGACACCTAAAGGCGCTTTAGTCAACGCGGATACAGGTAGAAAAACATCACCGAAACACGACCGTGAAATTCTCATTTCTAGAACTAATTTCACCCAGGTATGTAAATATAGATTTGTTAGGAGATTGCAGTCGTTCAATAATGACGAGTTCAATGTACACTTTCACGCTCTTCATAATAAGAATTTTATTTTTTTTTCTTTACCCACAATCCCCCGCTGTTACGGTTAATAAAGAAATATTTAAGGAATACATTTGTCGCAGTCTTGCATAGTTCGTAAGACGTTACCGCGTGAGCCAAACAACAAAGCACAGATGGTAACAGCTGCTTTAGTAATATACATGTGAACTCCGCTTAACGGATTGATCGTTTCTGTTGCCTTTCAGATTGAAGCTCGATGTTAACCTGAAGAGTTCCTGTTAGGCTGGCAAAGCGAAGTTGTTTGCACCATCCATTTAAATACGGTCAGTATTTGACTTGCTCATTTACACTTCTTTCGAGAGAAAGTTGTGAGGCGAGAAACAAAATATCAGAATGCATTGTTCATCTCCTTTATTCCTGTTATCTAAGCTTTGACACGTTCGGTGAGGAAATCGTTAACGATGTATAAGAACAGCTCAAGACAATTGGAACAAGTGAACTACAGTTTTGAACGCCGGGCAAGACAGAAATTAGAATGAACTTATCGCCGCTTGTTCCGGCAAACTCAAAATAGACAGAACCAATTGATGTTTATGCAAAATGTGTTGAACACGTCGACAAAATAACTCATTTAATGTAATGAATACCACTAATCTGTATTTTACTGAAATTTGTTCACACTTGTGTTTTAGCTTGGTTTGGTCATGCTTACTTAGTTAGACATGAACCGTGAATTTTACATACAGCGAGAACTTATGTTAAAGCTAAATCGTTAAAAGATAAGCCTATTACTGAATCACTCGTATCAAACTCAAGATAAATGTGTCTGCAGATTTTAATGTTTTATACAAGTCTAGTAATTTCGAAGCTTATCTTGGTCCACAAATGGTTATGTTAAAACGAGAACAACAAAATAAACTAAATGACGTTGTTTCAACTCGCCATTTGGCGATCTTTGCCTTATTACGAAAGCAATCAGTATCTGCTCAAATCTTCATTGTGCAAAATGTGAATTTCTATTTAAACATTAGCCCCCCAATATAAATTCCGTAGTTTTGCTTTCTATGGACATTTTTAATTGCTAAAACTTTCTTCGGGTAACCAATAAATTTAGCCACCTCATAAATCATGCATTGTTTATTTTTTTCATAAAACTTGACCGAGATTTACGGTGTTATTCACGCTGAAAATTTGCATAAATCTTTCTTCTGTTAAAAATCGATTAATTTTAAGGAGGAATATTACCGGAGCGAAAGGTTAAATTTGTGCTTTGTAATAGATGAAAGGCAGGAAAATTTATTTATGTGGGTCATGCAACATAAAAACGTAGGGCGAAACCTTGTTAGAAGCCGGTGAAAAGTGACAATACTTTATCAAACAATTCTGCATAAACTAGTGAACAACATATCATCCTATTGAAAAGAAAAACACACAGACTTCGTAGGTGAAAGCTGTCACAAGTGTTTGTCGCTACGTATACGACATATGAGTTTCATTAACTAACTTCTCCGGAGACTGCGTTTGAACGTCGTGTTTTTTTTTTCCATATTAAAGGAAACTTCTGATTCAGAATATTTACGTTTATACGACATTTAATTTGATATGCGTCAAACCAAATGAAGATTTAAAAGAAAATGTTTTTGCCATTTGTTTCAATATTAGAACAAGTGAGCAGTTCTCGGAAGCTTTTGTGAAGTGTCTCTGAAAATTTTAAAAAGATTTTTGTCTTGTTGACGCACTTGATGCAAGAGTGCAACTTGATCCTTCTGTGATCCTTCCTCAGGAGGTGTTACAAAATTTGATGCATTAAAATTGCACGAGACAGTAATTGTTAGAAAACGCTTCAGTAAACTGAATTTCGGTATCATTTTGCGTTATTTGGTGACAACTAAGCTTTGGCGATGCCTCAACTGTGAAAACAAGACCGATATAAGGTAGTAAAACAAATATTTATAGCCTGCCTTGAGCCTGAGCATACATTTACCCAAAGGTATCAGTCATACATGACATGTTTCACTCCCGTATCGTGAAATCTTAGACATCAAAATCGGATGCTGAAACGAACCTTGAAAATAAGGTTCTTTTATTACTACAAAACGAGGCCACCCCTTCAAACATAAAAATAAATGATAAAAAAGACCTTATTACCAAAACGAAATGCTTTTGAGGATGATAATATAGGTTGTCTAATGTAAAACCACAACGTTGCCTATCACAATTGCTTGCTTGCGTAAGTAAAATATCAACTAAGATTAAATCTCACTCGTTACGTTTCAGGAAAACAATACTCTTATAGAGGAATGAATAATAACACTTCAGGGCCAGGTAATTCCACATCCACTGGGGAAGATAAGCAGGTCATCACCTGGTGTGTTGCATATGCACTCGTAACAGTCACTATCATAGTGAATAATGTGGCAGCCATATTGGCATTTACAAAGTCACGCCTTCTAAGGAAATTTGGAAACTATTTCCTTGTTAATCTGGCAGTGGCGGATTTGATGGTCGGGACAATTGCTTTGCCGTTGTATATACATTTAATCTACATATCACCGCCTAAAACATCATTATCAACCAAACCAGGGCCTTTTCAGATCGTACAAATTGCTTTTGATGTGTTTTCTGGAATGGCATCTGTCTTCATACTCACTGTTATTTCTTTTGAAAGGGTATGCGCCATATTTTGCCCTCTACGATATCGCAGCCTTTCAAAAGCAACCTATCTCATTGTATTAACAGAGGTATGGATTCTTGCGGGAGCTCTCACAGGAATATGGCTTTTGACTGTGTTTGACTTCATCCATCATAATATCTTTGCGTATAGTTTGGCTATTTTATCTTTCACATCGCTTACGTTGATGATAGCTTCTTACGTCGCTCTATGGCTGAAGATCAAAATCTGGAGCCGCAAAACTCAACAGCGAGCGACAGGAGAAAAAGAACGCAACTTAGCAATGGCCATCGCTATCATAACTGCAGTATTCTTGTTAACCTGGTCACCATTTCATATCATGAATATCTTGATAAACTTTAAAAAATCTCTCCTAGATGGGATTCCCTATGAAGCCATCTATTTTGCAAAGTTTTTACATTACAGCAACTCGATTGTTAATCCAGTGATTTACTGTTATAAAATCTCTGAATTCAGAAGAGCATTGAAGTCCTTGATTTCAAGAAAACAAAAGAAAAGAGAAACACGTGTTTGATTCAAGTTCAGTAAAAGTTGAAGAAATATTATAATAATAAGCCCTTGATTTCAAGAAAACAAAAGAAAAGAGAGACAAGAGTTTGATTCAAGTTTAGTAAAAATTGTAGAAATATTATGTCTCACGAAGAGGAGGATAACGATACGATTCAACGCATATATTAATCGAAGGCAGTGTAATAACTAAGTTATTTACTCATGAACTTACATTTACTCATTTCCTAAATGTACATACCATACGCACGTTCCTGATCTATACAATAAATCTAAAACAAAG